CCTTTCCCTTCCCTCCCCAAACAGCGATGCAAGTGGGAAGAGTCTCTAGACGCCTGGTACCTATACGCTGTCTACCTAACACACGTGACCCGCAGAATAAGACTGAACAAAGCGTCTCAATCAGATAATTGTAGACAAGCGGTAAATATTGTAGTTTTTCTTTTTTGTTGTTAAGCGGAGAAGATGAGATAACATTCAAGCAATAGATTGCAAATATAATTCTCACAGCACTACTGCCTCATAAAAAAGAAAAACTAATCTGCTAATTAATGCAGTTTTCAGCTACATGTTACGTAGCCCGATTGCACACTGTCTCATCTCTGGTGGCATTTCCATTAAAGGGAACAGCTACTGACGATTAAAAATCTTCTTTCTAATAATTTTAATAATAGATAAACATCTGACGGGTATTTTCTTGGTCACAGAGTAATTGAAAAGTATTCAAGGAGTGCTACTGCTGTAACCAGGTTCAAAACGTAAAGCGTATTGGAAGAACAGCTCTGGGCCTTAGAGGAAAAGGCTGAAAATTAGCATAGCTATATAAAAACCATATGAGAGCCTAGAAACATCTGGGCTCCAACCTTAACCTTAACATAGCCTTTCCTCAGGGAACACAACATTTCTTCCTCCGTTTCTTCATGTCTGAAGATGACAACATACGACAGCGCTTCGGAAGAATGATGCATGGGCGGCAGTGTGCAAAAACTGAACATTAATTAGTAAACACCAAATCCTAACCCTACACAGACCACCACCATCAGAAAGTCAAAGAACGCATCTAAAAGTATCGGTTCTCAACTAAGGTGACAAAGAAACTTTTCAACAGTAAGTAGCATTTTATAATTACCTGCAGGTAATGTAAATGTTACAAGGTCAGTTAGAAAATAGCAAGCAAAGTCTCCCTTTCGCTGATGAAGAGATGCAGCAATTTCGCGACGAATTTGTTCTGTAACCTCTGGACACACCATGGCAGGAATGCACTTCGCTGCATGTTGTGATACCTGTAACATAATAGACTTACTGCACTCGGTATTATTCCTAGTTAAACCTAAAAACTTAGGGGGAAGAGCCAAAAAGAGAACGGTGTGGTGGGGGAAGCCTCACACACACCAAAATACTGTGAACCCTTGTATGTATAACCAGAACATGGCAGGATACTGGATAACAATAGTGAAATACCTCAAAAGTTACGGGTGAGCCCAGACTACGTTTAATATATACAACTCTATTACCACAACACAACAGACAGTTTCTTACAACGAAACTTCCCAAAAACTGTTAAGATACTTAAATTTCTTAGGCTTAAGAGCAGCGCGAAAAGCACCAATACTAACCATATATAAGTGGTACTAAAAATGCATTCATTAGTATTAAGAAATAATTCTTAGAATTTATATTAAACACTAATAAATGTGTGTTTATATAAATACAAGGCCTTCTCCAGACTTCAGCTACACTTATCTTGCTTCAGCTACTCCACTGTTTTATTACTCAACCCTATGCATCCCATCACTCTTAGGTGCTTCTCCTTCTCAGGCATGCTACTTTCCTCAAAGCCTTCACAACTGCGTTAAGTGTTAACGGACGGGAGGAGGAGGAACGTGCGCCCCTCGGATCAGGTGAGGGAACCGTAAAGTCTGAGATGACGAAAATGGTGGAAAAAACTAACAAAATTAGTTATGAGCCTAATAAGAGGGAAAGATTAAATAGGGCAAAGACCACCAGAAGTGAGGCACACCAGGCAAAAACACGGAACACGCAAAAGCAAGGAGACCACAGAGACAAGGCAACCAGTCTGTGCAACGTGGAAGGCGGGGGAGAAAGGTAGTTTATTTGCAAAGCAAGAAATTTGCCCTTCCCCATAAGAGAAGCCACAAAGAGTCCCATGGAAGAAACTGGCAGTTCACTGCCAGGTAGACTTATTCATTTACAAGTCTCAAAAAATTAAGCTGTCATTGATCTTTTGCCTCCGGGGCATTTCCTCTCCCCCACCCAAAGCACAGGAAGCATCACAATGGCTTGCTTCCACTGCCAGAAAGGTCAGGACGCATGCCAAGTCTGCTCCTTTTAATGGGAAACCTGAAAGTCCTCCAGATTACCACATGCATACATCTTAAAAAGACTGTTTCTTAAGGAGAAATATCGACAGAACAAAGGCACAAAGCAGCAATTCACTTATCCTTCTAACAATATTGGTCTCTGTCTACTAGCAAATAACGTTACACATCACTGGCTGCAAATAGTGGCACAGTTACATAAGGTTCCTATTCAATCTGGGCAAGGGCCGGAGTAACTCACCTCCGTAAGCAAAATTGCTAGCATATCTTGTCTCTGAAAGCGTATAGCCAGATGTACAAGCGTGTACCCAACATCAAAAGCAGAAGGGCGATTTAGCAGGCGTACTTCATCTGCAGTAAGCTGGCGTGCAATATCTCCTCCTGACGACTTGTAAGCCTCAACAGCAGCTAAATCACCTTCTACAACACCTAAAGAAACAAAACAGTTTCATTTAGCTAGCAAATGAACCATTTTGGACCTTGCCCAATACAGTTTGCCTCTATTCCGACACAGACCTAACATACAAAGGTCAACTACATACCAAGCAACTTGCAAATAATTTTCTTAAATGGAAGACTATGAAATCCTTGCACTTACCTCACCTCCCAGATCATCTCCAATTTTCCAAAATAGTTGGAAGATACAGAAGATTAAAAGACAGCTATCATGTGGTGCGGAAGGCCCTTGATGAAATACCTAGCATAACACACTCGCTATCACTTTGTCTGATCAACAGTCACAAAGACAAATCATTCATTCATAGTACAGAGATTAGCCTGATTATCACATCTTCCTTTATAACTTATTTAAAAAAAAAATCCTTTCAATTTTGATCACATTTAGGAAACAAATGCTCTGAAAAATCTTGAACGAAAAATAAAGGTTTTTTGTTTTCTCTTTTTTTGGGAAGTTATGGTTTAAAACCTAGTGTTGGAAAGAGGTATAGGGCACAACGCTTTTCTTCAGTTCACCGTCTCTGCTATAAACCGAACACTTATCCAGTCATCATCTACGGTACTCTAAGACTAAATTAAAGAAAAATCACACATACATACCACATCAACTTTGTGCCGCTTTACTTTTAAAGTGAGGTTGGGTGGGGGTGGGGAGGGGGGAAACCACACACTGTCTTCTAAAGTCCTCTGAAATTTAACTTCTGAACTACATTTCGTACCAACACCATCCATGCTGAATGCATTCCCTAGCAGTAATTATCAGAATACACCATCAACAAGATGCTGAATCTGTTATCTTCAACCACATCCCTTCCCAAATAGGATTTCCTAAATTTAGAAATGCCATTTACTATAAAGATCTTCTTTTAGGTACATTCTTTGCAAGAGAACAGTGTGATGAATAGTGAGTTGAGGAAATAGAAAAATGACCTTAAGCAAGCCATCTTTGCTAGAGAAGTAAATAGAATAAATTTGATCCGCAACTGAGAAGAAACCCTATTTGCAGCAGCCCTAGAACTGAAAAAGAAGAATATAGTATTAAAGATGAGCAGGTAGTGGTTTTCCCATCATTCCAAAACTTTGAAATTCAATCATTTTCCTCAATCATAAAAAGATGAAAAACCCTCTCCCATCATTTTGCATAGATAAGCCTCATTCCAACTCAGAACAGCTGAACCTGGGACTCTAGAGACCACGCTACTGAAAATGGAGACTCAAGTCCATCCTTCAATCAGTAATTTTACAAAGGTACCAAAAAAATCCATCGGAAGAAAAAGGGCCAAAGCCCCAGGTGCTCACTCCAGTTCAATTCTTTTTGGTCTGGTGCTTTGAATCTCAGTCCTGAACTTCCTATTACCAGATAAGCATCCTAACCACTCGGTTGCTGGTTATTCCAGGAGATGGGAAAATATTCTTAGTTTGGCCAGAAAGTCTATTATTTTCCAATATAGAGATTATAAAGCTTTCAGAAAAAACAGAGGGAAAACAGATTATCACTGCAAGACGTTTTTCTGCAAAGTTATCAGCCCTACTTAGTAAGCCACTACAGAGTTAGATTACTCATTTCAAGGGCGGTCAAAAGCAGACAAGTTCCTGAATACAAACTCAAAAGCAAGTTTCAGTCATATGACACATCTATCAGTCGGACGAGCACCCAAAAGTTGCAACAGGCCAGGGAGATCTTCTGTTTGTTTGTTTGTTTGTCTGATGCATTTCTCTAGCTTGACTGTACAGGAAAACATTCCTGTTCTGCATTAACGCTTCACTCTGTTTAAGTACCTGCCTATGCAGTCACCCAAGACGAACTAAAGAACTAACTAGCCAAAAATTACGTTTGTCCATTTTAATTCTTATTTCAGAGCAGTTAAGACTTCACTGACGAAAAATATTTTAAACAAGTAAAGAGCTGTTACTGATGGAGAAAATCTAGCTCAGCAAAGGGAAACGAAGACAACAGAGAATTTTTTGGTTGGAGATTCAAGTTCACTAAAACCTGCGTCAAAGGAATGCAATATGGGATCCCTGACCAACCTAGTCGTGCTCCTGTTATGACATTTCACTCCAGAACTAAAACATACCATCAAAGCAAAAGGTACAGCATACACTGACAAAACTTACCCCTAACAAGAACGCCAAGCGTAGCATTTATTTCCACGCAACCACATTTTTACGCCACTGATGAGGCACTACCCAGGCTGGTTACGATACATCACTCCAACCAAATGCAGCACTGATGCTTTTTTACACATTTACAGAGATATCAAACCAGACACTATCTAATGACTTGTTTTCTTAAAATGAAAAAGAGAAACCTTGAGAGAAGAAGATTCTCTGCTACTTGATGACACAAATTCATATTACTTTCATGAACAATACCTTTATAAAGGCTGATTAGATTTTGATGACATCTACTGACAAGGAAAAGAATCCTGTTATATTTGCCTATTCCACTGAACCATGCAATGACAAAAATATACCAAAGACCACCCTAAAATTGGTAGGTAGCGGCAATTCAAATATCCCAGTCTAATTTCAAAAATCAAAGAATCAAATATTCCAAACGTGACCTTTCAGTGACAGATGATCAGTCCCAAATCATCACAAAAATTTGAATCAGCCAGCCCTTCCAATACACACTACCCAGGACAGCCTTAAGTCAATTCGTATTTGTCACTACTCCTCTACGCCCCCATCCTCAGCTGCTGTGGCAGCGTACTACCTCCCCGCTCTTAATAAAACCTCAGCAGCAACTGAGATTTAAGACCAACACTGAGAGGCAATCATGCGAGGTTTGGCAATGCCTTCCAGCACTAACTACTAGAAGCTGCTATAGGGATCAAAATCATTGATGTATGCTGTATACAGCACTGCCAGCTCCAGCAGTTTATTCATAAGTCTTACAATACTTGACATTCCTAAAAGCCCCGTGTCCCAGAATTACTAAAATTATTAAATAAGCTTTCATTTAGAAAGTGCATTTCTAAGCCTAACTGATGAAATTTAAGCTAAAAAAAGTAAAAAAAAAAAATTAAAAAATACATATGTCAAAAATAGGCAAACTGCATATGCTTTCTAGGCCTTATTAAAAACGGAGAGTACAAATTCAGTATGGGGTTGGCGACACTGTTTATCTAGCAGAAGAGAGGAGTAGTGAAGTAAGAAACAATGATGGTTTGCTAAATGACACATCAAGCTAGCACAGCTGTAGCACATGAAGCGGGGCCTGGGGGATGTGTACATGTGCATATGCTGTATCTGGTTTTTCTCTATTCCCCAATTCAAACAACCAAGTGACTATTCATGGGGGGCTAGGAGCGGGGAAGAGCCGCAGCAAATGTTTAGCTCAGGTCCAGGCCAACCCACTTCTAGACGTACAGTGAGAAGTCCTAACCACTTTGTAAGAGTCTCTTAATATACAAACATAATGCACAAGACCAAACCATACAGCGCTCGTTTTGCGTAAATTGTTGCACAGAGACAAATACAAGGCTGTTGTCTTACGAGATGCCTGCTCTTGCAAACCTGCTGTATGCTCTCGTGTCTGGCACTAATTTGCACTAAAATATTGTGAGCTAAGTATCCAGAGCTTCACTATTGCAGGGCTTATTTTCAATGAATATTACAAACATCCTTGGTCCCTCTCACTCAAGGAGGGGGGGGGGGGAAGTACAAATTTCTCTATACTAGCTCTGCCAACTACCTACTCCATATTAGCTGATTCGAAAGAACAGAGAAAATTCCTAAGTACTCATCAGGTGCCAGTCTGCTTTCAGTGCCAGTCAGTAATCCAAGGCTACAACAAAGACTGAGCAAAAATATAGTAGCTTCTGCAGCAGGCAGACTGGCAAATCAGAGAAGATGGATCTTGCCCCACAACTCTGGGGTCATCTTGACTACACAAAACATTCATAAAAGCTGTCTTAAGCTTTTAAATTCTTAAATTCAGTATCACAGCTCCAAAATAAGCTCTTAATATGCTTTTATTGACAAGAGGAGGCACATTCCTACAATGGCTTTAATTTCTGTCAGATGGATGACAGTCTCCAACTCATTAATTCTATCTAAAAAAAGCTTAACAAAACACTATTTACAAGAAACATTACAGAAATATTTACTGATGTTATAATTCACTGCATTTCATAAAATACAAGAGCCTGATTACTTAAACAAGCAGTCTTTGAAACATGTTCTGATAAAATGCATGCCAGTTAGATTTTTCCCACTGACACCCACTGCATTCTTGGTGCTGTTAAAATGTCAAAAGGAAGAGTGGTATTTGCCTTAAGACTGTTCACATAACCCTGATGAGTGCTTAAGTAGCTAGGTCTCTTGCTAGAGCATACCTGAGATTATTCACAAGAGCTACATGTATGGAAACAGACCCTTAAAATTCAACGTTCAGTTGTGACCCACAGCAAGAATTCTTGTCTAAAGTAGATTTGAGAAACGTTAGCTTGGTATTGCAACTAAAAAAATTGCTCTTAAAATTGCTCTTTTTTAACCCCTGAAAGACGCAATTTTGCTTTGCTTAATGCACAAATGCATGACTATAAACTGACCTCTTAAGTGACATGACAGAATGCAAAGTGAGGCATGCAAGTCAAAGGAAAATAAAGTGAGAGTTAGTATTCAGTTAGTATTTACAGGTTCGTTCAGCTATGCTCCCATTTGAATTCAGGGAATTCTTATCGAAATATTCTTTCATGGCACCGAGAACCAAAGTTTTTTCTTCTCCTACTGAAGTCCTAACTCCTACAGATAGCACGGATCTGAAATATGCACTCTCAGCTTACATGAGAAGATATATGGTAAAGAGATTAAGAAGGTATATTAAACAAAGACTGAAATCAAAAAGTATAAATTACCCAATAGCAATTATTGATATCATTTTGATCCTGCACTTTCCTGACACAACCGTCAAAGCCATCTTCTTCATTAGCTATCCAAAGTTACGTTTGCTAATATTTATAAGC